CAACAGTTGGCATATGCTTATGGGGGCAAGGTTAGACGTTATAGACACAAAATAGTTATATAAACAGTGGGTTACTACAAATAGCAAAGCAATATGTGACTGCTTAGACTTTTTACTCCTAACCTCGAGTCATGCAATAACAGTGAAGCATTGCAGGATTCAGATTGTCCAGATAAAAAAAGAATTGCTTAATCGCTAAGTAACAAATTTCAATCAAAATCCAAACCTAATAATAGGGGATGTATTAGAAGTTCATCCACCAATTGCAAAATTAAGAAATAGAGGATGAATACAATTTAGTTTAGAGGGAGAGGGGGGGGGGGGGGGTTATTACATAAGTAACCACAATCCAATATAGCAAAATAAAGGATTCTGGGAAATATGAAACGATCTCCAGTAAATTAGAGTAGATCCTGCTGAGGGTGACATCCTCTTCAGAACCCATAGCATGTAAGAAAATACACCACTACACAACTTGTGATCTCAATGTAAATTGTAGACTCGTGTACTCAACTCTCACTTGTCAAATATATCTTCATCTTCTGACACAACTATGGAAAAGAAAGAAAAAAAAGAAAGTGTAAAGGAAAGTTGTTTTAGCCACTGCATTGATTCTCCAAGCCAACTGGTGATAGTGAAAAAATACAGTTAACAAAGACAGCGCCCTCTATGAGCCACAGTGGAATTTAAAATAGCAAAAATATTACTAGTATCAGGTGATTGTATGCATGGAAACTCAAATTATGTGTGGTATAATTTCTATATTCCTTCACCCAATATACATTAGTTATTCTAATTAAAGAAATATGACCAGGAAATGATCAAACATAATAGTGAGCTTTATTTATAATACAGATTGAAAGCTGCCACAACAGCTGTGCGTGCTGCCAGTGTACAATATACCAAAATGTGGCACTACAGTATGTAATTTGACAAACAAGCACGAGTATTGTACAGTAACAATTCATCAAAATTTGAAAACACATTCCCAATTCATAAAATATGAACTTTACTGTCCAGGTATTGCTCATTTAAATTACCATTATTAAGGTAGAGTGCTTGGTTACATCAATCTACTAATGATCAAAGTTATTAGCTCGTAATAACATCTATAGCCATGGTTTTTCTAAAAAGAAAAAACATCCTGGATATTGTCACTATGATTTTGATCATTTCCTAAGGACATGTAATTGACAGAGAAATGGTTATCTATAAAGCATATTGTAACATAGATACAGTATCTAAGCAACTGAGGACAAACATTTTTATGCAAACATTGCCACAAGTACATTAATCATGATTGTGCATGAAGAGACATAAGCTATCAGAAACCTTTGTGCATTTTATAGATTAGTTAAACAGCATTCTGAGTTTGATTTCATGATATCCATGATTTTAATTGCCCTTGTCTAAAATTAGGGTTTCATCAATGTCAAAATCTACTTGGTACTGAACTAGCTTGGAATCTACAATACAAAAATTTTGATTGCTGTTCTGATGAAAGAAACACTACAATAAACTTCATTTCATATTCATAGAATCCCCAGAACACCAATGATCGCACAAAACACCACAGCTAGAATCAAGAAAATGTATATTTTGTGATTTGTTTTTGATCAGCTTTCACTTTACTTTGAATGGTGCTCATCACAGATGACACAAACTCAGAAGCCACAACTGTTAGGATTTGAAGAGACCTTAAGCAATAAACCCAATAGATTTGAAGTGAAAAATTAAAAAAAACAAAAAACGAATGTTGATTAAGAACAATTTACTTATGTTTGGCAGTTGTGTGACCTCATCTAAACTAGCTGCAGTCACAGAGGCCAACATCTCATCCAGTTCTTTTTCAAATTCATCAGGCGAAGTAGATAAACCTATTGCAGGTGAAAATATAACAACTATAGCTATAGGTGAGGACAAAACCTATTAACATGCACATGCATTGCAAAAGAGGGCTCAGGCAGTATTCACAGAATATTTAGTACCCTACATACGGTATCACTGTAAATGTTAATTTTAATTTAATTATTCATTCATTGCATGATGATAACCAAACTGGTTGGTGAAAACATGGTTCTTTCAACTGTAAATTATCAAATACTTTAAAGTGAATGCAACAGGTAAATTTTGTATAATTATTTCTCTGGAAAATGTACATTGTGAAAATCAATGAATACATCTTCTCGGAATGTACATAAAAGTTCAAAAGATGTACATTGAATTTAATAGCATCTTAATTAAAATTAATAATTACTGCAAATCTCATTCGTTTCCCTGATATGCAGTGGAAATACAATAGGATATAATTTTCCTAAGGGAGAAAAAAAAATGATATATACATATCACATCACATTAGTTCTTCCATGAAAAAGACTTCATAATAAAACACAGTTGAACAGCCATGTGAGTGACATTAGCTAATATCTGTGATGTATGTGCACAGAGCCCATCCTTTCAACTGTCAACAATATATACAATTGTAGCACATCAAGCAGATAAAATTCACCCTATACACACATGTTATTACAAAGCAAGCATAGCAGTGTTCATTCTGTCTATTTCCCAGGATAGAGCCACCATATCACTAGTCATAATTGCTGGACATGTAGCTATAAATAAATTCTTTAACCAGGTTACATTTACAATATAGCAGCAGCCCTTGCAAAATAATAATCACTACAAACTGCAATAATAAGCTATAAATGCTGCCAGTCAGTGGAAAAATTTACAGCAGTTGGCAAGTAGCCATTGACTTTTATGAAATTGAATGCACGGAAAATCTAACAGTTTCTAAGATAATACAAGAACGATTTTCTGAATACATTTTCATCAGCATAATTTACATCAATAAATTTCCAATAAAAATCTAGGGGTCACTATGTTTCTCAAATGCAACCACAAATTAATCCAAATTCCATTCTTATTTTACTTAAAATAGCTGCCATGTAGTGGTTGAAAGACCATCAATCAATTCTCCAATTCTACCTCTCAAAATATTTTTAATTCTTGCAGCCGTATTTAGTATAACACAATATCAGAGGACAGTTTTATTTCAAAATTACATTTTAATTGTATCTTTCTTAAACCACCACTCATTTATCCTGCAGTAAAAGCAACATGACTTAGAATATCCACTGGTATTGCAGCTTCATTAAGCAGTACTATATTTATCCATGTAGTTAACATATTTCACATTAATTTAGTTGCTGTGTACATGTATAATTATAATGACCCACCCCAACGGCACTTTGCTTTGAAAGACTGTTGTTAACTAAGCAGTTGAAACCATACGTGTGTATTATTCTCCTAACTTTCAATTACATGTGGTGAATGTTAAATAAAGATATCATGTGACATACGTTAGCAAGTTTTAGCTATGTACTGCCCTGCTTTTAATTATTCATCACAACAAAATACAATACCTTTCAATAATACCAATACGTGTATACAATACCTTTCTTTTCATGCACTGCATTATCATGGATGATGTCTGGTACAGGAATGCCAGTTGATTCATTCTGCATCTTAAGTAATCCATTAGGCACTTGCACAGCAGTTTCAGTGTTATTATGAAGAACGCTGCCAAAATCCACTTTGGCATCTCCATCTCCTTTTGTATTTACAAATGTTATTGCACTGTTGTCATCAAAATCGTTAAGATTAGGCGCTGTCTGTGCATCAATGTTTGTTCCTTGCTCTGCAGAACACATCGTGTCCTTAGCCATATTCGCATTGGGTTGCGCCACAGTTTTGGCAACATATTCATTGTTGCTGATACCGACATAGAAGGTAGATTGATCCCCAACTTGTAATCCATTTTCATTACCGTTGGAAGCCCCTTCCATCGCTGATGACAGTCCAGCTGTCACTGTACATTCTGCAGCTACACTGGAAGACTGTGAAACAGAAGGTTGCCCTTCTTGCTGACTGTTTAATAAAACTAAGGCACTAGCCTGACTATCATTATGCATTTGCACATTGTCTACAATGACCAGCTCTCCGTTAATAGCATGGGTAACATCGGCCAAATCAGGACTGTCTAAAGCATCTGCATTCACCTGTGCTAAGTGATCAGAATTGTCTGTTTTGTTAACATCTTCTTTAGACCGATTTAAAGTACTCCTTTCAAGAGCTTTCTGCGCTTCAATCACTTGGTTCTTGGCTTCTTCATCTTTGGCCAGTTCTCTATTTCTTTTTGTGTAGTTACCAATCTCATCCTGCAAACTTTTCTGAATATCTTCGTGTCCATTCATCTATTAAGTAGAATTCAATGTGAGAGAATATAAAAATCTTATCTTTTATTTGAGAATATTTGATCAAAGTGTAAAAGGAAATTGGAATATGGTGACATGACAATGAATGTGATACTAAATTTGCTATTAACTGCACAATAAAAAACAAGACACAGCAACGATGTATCTCTGACAAACTTACCGTCTCTTTCTTTATGTCTTTATCAATATCTAATCGTAGAAGACTTCTATTGACCTTCAATGCCAACATTAAAGCCATCAATCCACCAGTTTTTATGTCATTCTCACGTACATCAAGTCTGATTAATTTTGTGCCGTCTGCCAAGTATTCAGCTAATGCTATGGCACCTGGTGAAATGGAGAAAACATAACATGGGATGCCTTGAGTACTAGTAATTGCTGACAATGATTAAAAATGGAGACAGGAATTCGGTACACAGAACATGGAAGATACTTTTACCCGGCAGATTATCATGAGAATAATAATATAAGCATGCATGAAAGCAGTACAGTCATTGTATCATTGCAGAGGTCAACGAGTTTCTGTACTGCCCAAGTGCAAATTTTGCAATATTCTCATGGTAACCTTATTATTATACATTTTTTTTTTCCTACTTTTGATAATGATTCAATGAGACATAACAGCCCAAATGGCAATGACCAATGCATTGCATTGTACGAACATTTGCATTCAGTGACAGAACTGTATTACCTTCACATGTGATTCTTGTGTTGACTAGTCCTAGTCTTAAAATTGAACCATTCCTCAGTAATCCATCTTTTAGTAGTAAAACGCCTTCATCAGTGAGGACATTGTGACCAAGATTAAGGGTGTCCAAATTATTGCACTCCGGCTGAAAGAGAATTCATTTTATTATCACGCAATGTACATCTCACACAAAAGATACATCTTGGCAATTTTAAGTTCACGGTAAAAATCAGTGGCTACTTCTGAACACACACCTTCTTGAGACATGGATGGACTGATTGAACAAAGTTATATGACAAGGTGCATGTTGAAATGTACCCTATTAAATGAAACAAAGATGCATGTGTGCCACTTTGGATTATGTATATATGAAAGTTTAAATCAGTATAGTAATGTCTCAGATAGTAGGTCAGCTTGACTAATGAATTTGAGTCTGGCTGGAGACAAGTCTATACATACCAAGGCTCGGGCTAGTTCTGCCATGCCAACATGTGTAATACCATTATTCCATAGAACTAAAGTACCAAGACCGTCATCCTTCTGTTCTACTAAACCGTCACAGATATGAGCAACGCCAACATTCTGAATGGAAACAAAGAGAAAAATGGGTAAAAACAAAAGTAACAAGTCCATATTGAGAGATATTACTCTGGAACAGCATACAAAATCAACCATTTTGAATACATGTATATATATATAATATGATATTTAACCAATATATAAAATTTGAACATAATCAGTCAAAGCATTTAAGAGATATGGCTCTAGAAGCCCAATCATTAAAATAGAATGACGTGCATCAGGAACCCGTAATGTCTAATGTATGTACCAAGTTTGAACGAAATCCATCCATAAATGCCAGAAATGCTTGATATTTGATGATTTTTTGGCACAAAAATGGCCACCATTTGGCCATTTTGAATAGGATCGTCAAACCAATATATCTGTCTATCTATGACATGATGTATAATGAATATTTAAAATTTGAACATAATCAGTGAAAGCAAGTCAAAGATATGGCACGAGAACCACATTCATTAAAACAAAATGGCTGCCAGTCGGCCATTTTGAATCTTATCTGAAAAACAAAATTATTTGCATCAAGATCCCATAATGTCTAATGTATATACCAAGTTTGAACAAAATCCATCTGTAAACAGCCAAGAAATGCTTGATTTTGATGATTTTTAGCACAAAAATCTTGAATCAGATCGTGAAACAAATTGACGTGCATATGTATAATATCATGTATGATGTATGTGTGAAGTTTGATTGTGATTGGTCCAGGCATTTCTAAGATACAGGTCCGGACGCACGCACGTATGCACGCACACACGCGTATGCACAGACACAC